ATTATCACTTTATTGATATCACTTCCCAAAGAATACCTACTAAAGAAAATAAAAATTGTCTTCAAAACGAATCAGTTTAAGATAAACTCAGGAGTATAGAGAAGAAAGCGCAAACCGTAAGTCACCGATTGAATTTGCATCCAGAAGGTCTGAGAACAGCACACATAATCTCAGAACAAATCCGAAAATTCTTCACATCGTTAAGCACAAACCCCATGTGTGATATTTCCTTTATTCCCTTCCCGCAAAGGACACATACTCTCAAACAATGTTTTGAGTGTTGCACAGTTGAGAGATGTCCCCTATCATGTGCCTGGAACAGCCACTACCAACAAACCGAAGTCTGATGATATGCCTCCATAGCTGCTCCGACACAGAGTGGGATCAGTTGGTCTTTGGAACCCAGTCCATTTTGAAACTGGGTTGACCTTTGTCATCTGTGCAAGGAACTCTCTCCCATGACATGTTCTGCTTATCACAAACAGAAGATGTAGAAACGTTAGAGTCATTAGGTGATTTGGGAGATTGAACCTTTGGTACCCATTTATAGTTGGGTTTAACCCATTTCTTGTTCGATCCGATGGGTGCCTTATCGCTTGCTTTTGAACTTGAAGTCGGCCGTCGAGATGGCTTTTACCTAACCGGTCTTGGCTTCACTGGAGCATCTCTTGAGCTTGGCTTCTTGGCCGACTTTCCCTTCTTGTCCTTGGGATTTTGATTATTGGCCTTGTGGGTTTTTTTCTTAGCCTTCTGCGCGTTCCAGTCACCATTGTGCGATTGTGACCTCGAATGATTTCTTTTGAAGAATCTCCCACTTTGCGCGTTCTGCCAGCCTTGTGCGTAGTAGGGAACGTATGCGCGATTTGGACAATTTCGGGCAATGTGTCCAGGTGTTCCACAGTGAAAACATGTCTTTTTCTTCACTGGGAAGTTGTTTCTTCCTGCCCCTGGTGGCGTGTCCTTGCCTCGTTTCTTATTGTTCCTACAAGCACACTTGCAACAAGCACTCTGTTTGGCTTGAATTGGTGGCCTGTATTTACCAACAGCAGGTTGATCAGAAGTAACTGAGTTAGAAGCAACAAATTCATAGTTCAAGGAGACATTGGTTTGTTCAAAAGTGTTCTCCTTGTTCTCTTCTTCCACTACTTTACCTGCACAAGAAGTATAAACATAAGTATTTTTCATCTCAATACCCTCAGTTGGCCCTGATTGTTCAGTCTTAACTGAAACTGGAGCAGGGGGTTAGCCATACTTAAGGTGTGCTTCATTTTCATTTTCTTCCTTAGCCAGAGGGGTGAAAGTGTAGTGTCATTGAAGGAGGTGGAATGGAACATCGTGATACCCTAGACCCTTGTTTTGATTATCTTTAAATGTTAATTGTTTTTCTATCATGGACACAACTACCTCACTTGACACATCAAATTTTTTAAAGTTGAATTCAACATCTTTATATTTGGCTTTTAATCCATCAACTTCGGCAGTCACAACATCAAAATCTTTCTTAAGATATCTATAATGGACACACTTGTCACTGTACTCTGCCTGTAATTTCCCAAAGTCCTTAGTTTTGGCCTCTAGTTGTTCTTTTAATGGTTTTAGGCCTTTCCTAAGTTTGTACCCCTCATATTTAAGTTCCTCATTTTCTCTTTTTAATAAATCGATGTGTTCACGTAAATTTTTTTATAGTTTAATGCAAGTTTGAAAGCATGAAACTTCATTGACCGGAATGTTTGAGGAACTCATTGTTTAAAAATATGCCCTTTGACTTAAAACCTCAAAAGTCAACCTTAAAAGTCAAATTTAAAAAGTCAAACTTAAAAGTCAAACCGAAAAGCTAAATTTGAAAATTTAAAAGTTAAACGAGAAAGTCAAAGGTCAAACTTGAAGTCAAAGTCAAAATTTTAGGTTAAAAGTCAATTTATAAAAGTCAAAAATTAAAAACTAAAATTTTTTGGGTTGAAAATGAAATTTAAAAATAAAAAAATTTGAATTTTGGGTTGAATATGTTAAGAATGCGAAATTAGGAACCGAGAAAGCGAATCCTTTTGAATTAAATCTGGGAGGAATGTATCAAGTTGCTTGCTAGATGAGATGGTAAGGCGCCTGGTTGAGTGTGTGGGAGATCCGGGTTCGATCCTTGCAACCCCAAAATCCCTCTTTTTTTTAAGTATATGCCGTGAATGCGAGGACTGCTGAGCCGACCGAGAACTCCTGCTGACCGCAAACAAGCGAGGACCGCAGACGAGACTTCGGACTGCACACACTTCTCGGTCGTAAACGGACTTCGGACCGTGAACGCTTCTTCGGGCCGTGAAGGCTTCGGACGTTTCGGGGCCGTGAAAGCTGCTTCGGAGGCCGAGAACCCTTCTTCTGATCGGCCTTGAACACTGCTTCAGATACGAAAAAAACAACGATTTTTGCCCCTTTTTGCTCCAAAACTCGATCAAAAACTCGTTTTTATGAAAAACACGAAGAACAAAACCCCCTAATTTTCAAAGATCTATCTAAAAACGCAAAAATCCTTCAAAAATAAGATCAAATACGCTCCAGGTCTGGAAAAATTGATTGATACAATCCAAGCTCTGATACCACTTGTAAGTCCCCAATCTGCTTGTGTATCAATCAGATCTGTTTGATGGTGCGGAATCCCAATCAAACGGATAATGCCAGATCAAAATAGAAGAGAAAGAGAAGAAGAAGAATATGAATCTATGATGTATTCAAGATTGGAATGATGAACAATACACAAGATTCACACACACTTGCACCTTCTCTCTAACTTTCTCTCTCTAGAACACCTTAGAATACACACACTTAAGCTCCTCTAGCCTTGCACTCCTCACCCACCTAACACTTATATATATGGCACAACCAGCCGTAAACACCACCTGGCCGTGAACACACCCAACCGCAAACACATCTAACCGGAAACACCAAGGATGTTTACGGTCCTAGACTAAAAAGTACAATTGCTTAGAAAAGCAAAGTATAAACCATATTTTAGACCCAACATGTTATGAGCTTCTCAAGCCATTATATTAATTAAGAAAAGTCTAGGTAATTTCAAGCGTCTTGGATTACTATAGCCAAATTATAATTTCATTACAAGTATTACACCTTGCGTTCTAATGATTTATTAACCAAATGTTCATATGATGAAATTCTAAAGTCAACCATTCCATCCATATTGATTTTTATCAACTTTTATTTGTTTGAATTACATTCATATTATGCTAGTTAAATTAGATTCATGGCAACTAAAAAAATCTAAAATCCCCGTTGTTTAATTTTATTGTCATTTTACAAGTATTTTTATAAAGAGATTTTCATTGAGTTACAAATTAAATCAATCCTCGTGGATTTGATCTCTTTACCATTATACGTTATTTCAATGTACAATATTTATGGTATTTATTTGTTGGCATCGACAACCACCAAAACATATGGTTAGACACATATGATAAACCACGTATAGCATCATAAACACTTTATCATACTTATATTCACATAAACCTCATATATTGTCCCCACAACGCCTTCACAACTTCAAATTCATATAATATATGCATGGAATTATACCACACACATATGGATACAAATGTAACTTTGATCGTTTGATCAACTCACATCACTAGAACAAATGTGAATCACAAGTTAATAACACTAGGACAAGTGCAAAGCACAAGTTGATCATTGGGTATAACATGAAGACAAATGCATAACACAAGTTGATAATGCTAGATCAATGTGAAGCACATGTCGATACCTAAGAGTAACATGAGGACAAGTGTATGACACAAATCGATATTTTTCACGCAAGAGTAGCTATACCGATTAGACATTAGGGGAAGATGTTCTAGAATGTAAGCGTGATCCTCTTTGAAGCTTTTATTCATTACATATGTCACACACCCTTTTTCCCTTTATACCCGTTAACACTTCATGTGAAAACATTTTTCACATAAAATCCTTTGATAGTGAAAAACACTTAAACCTTTTAAAAACTTTAACCATTTGACAACTTTGACCCTTTAACAACTTTAAAATGCCACGTAAAATCACATATAAGTAGTATAGTATCTTAAACATATTTAATAAACCGTTTAACATATTGCATGCTATATAAAATAACTAAAAGTATATTTAACACATTACATGCTACATAGATCACATAGAAGATATGTATAATGACATAATACATAGATAACACATAACAAGTAAAACAATTTATCTGTACAAAGGATGTGCACATAGAAAAATCTATGTACTCAAATTAGCTTCTACAATGTTGCTTTCCTTGTGTGATGTCTTCTAATCTCTCTAAAGCGTCGAGGAAGCCCTATACATAATTATAATATCATTAATCTTAAGTTTCAATACCTTATAAGTAATCTTCTTTTGGGGCTTTAATAGCATATTGTTAAGTTGGTGTCACTACATTAACTATGTAAGTTAACTTCTTTGTTTTTGCTTGTAATCATAATGATTCGCATGGTCCTTTGGAATACACAATATCCAAATATGTGAGTAGTGTTCAAAGTTGTCTCATTTATATACTTTTATATGTGTTTGTTAATCTCTTTAGAATGCACATGGACACCTCTTTCTTTCTCTCTCTCTCTCTCTCTCTATATATATATATATATATATATATATATATATATAGTTCTTTATTAGGCTCTTTAAACCTTTCTTTGTACACATACATACATTTATATATGTATAGACACATCATTAGTCATTTAATTTAACACTAGAGAAAGTTTTTTGTCATTTCACATGGTTAGGGACCAAAACTGCAATGTCTTTTGGGACAATTTCGTTACAAAATAAATATTAGACTAAAACCGCTTTCTTTTATAAATCATAGGGACCATTTTTAAAATTAACCCTCAAAGTTATAAATGAAGGGTTACAGTTAAAAGAAGTTCGAAATTGAGGGGTTAGACTTGGTTTTAGTTAATACTTCAAGATCGAATATCTTTTCCCAAGAGAGGAAAGGAGGAGGAATCCATTTCATCTCCCCTGCGAAATATATTGAAAATGTTGGACCTGAAAATCGTAATAGAAAACAAAGAGACTCGATTTCATTCGCATCCCGCGTTGGGCGCCGTTTTTTGACGCGCCACCTCACGCGCCGTCGAATTCCATCCGTTCTTCAAAAGCTAGAACTAAAAAGCTTTATCAATCAAAAAAGCCTGTCCAGATGATGGAATCGCCGAACGGTTCTACAGGAGAAGAGCACTTGACGAAGAAATCGGACGCATCGGATCGCGATCACTCCCTGATTCATGTGAAGCTGGCTCAGGATCCGGATCCGAGTCCGAAAACACATCCGGTTTCCCTTGAAAGGGACAATGCTGAGATAACTGATGACCATTCTTCGTCAACAACAACACCGGGAACTTATTCGCCGTCGCCGACGGCTATCCGATCGAAGAAATCGGTTCGGTGGAGTCAGGATTTGGTGGAGGAGAGGACGTTGCCACCGTTGGAGAAGGGTGATGACGATTACGATTCATCTAATCCTTATGTTAATCGTTCTCAGGGATCATCCAATTCTCCCGCATTCAACATCAACAGTTAGGTTTTTTCCTGTCTTACATTCCAAGCCTGCAAAAACTTATATTATTTCTCAAATTGCTTTTGGATACCTATCGTAGTTCCACTTCTCAGGTTATACTTTGTATGCAAAAATTGATATTCCTGTCTTGCATGTTACTCTTTTCCGCAAGTTTATATAATAGTGCTCATGGATTGAGCTGTAATTGGATAACAACTAATAAGAACACACAATATGTTCATAGATTCACAGTTACTGCTGCGTTTTACAGATTCTATGGACAATATTAAAGATGCTCTTGGTAGATGGAGAAAGAAGGTCGGAGAAGCTACAAAAAAAGCAGAGGATCTCGCCGGCAATACTTGGCAACATTGTAAGTGTTTTAACCTTTTCTTTTTGTGTGTTTTTCGCCTTTCTTTTTCCTTCAAGTTAGTTTCATTCATCTATTTGTGTCATTGTGGATAAATCATATATGATCAAGACAACTATCAAATAAGTCCAGTTGATATAAATTGCAAAATATTCCCCAATTTATATCCTTTCAACTGCATTTAGGAATATGTATAGCCTATGACGCTGATAGTTTTCTTGAGTATAAAAAGGGAACCTATCAAATTGCATAGAACACTAATGGTGAATCTCATTTTCAAAGCAACTCCAATATTGTGAACAAAACCGAAAACTTAATTCTCAAATTTATGTGTTGAAAACAATACATTAAGAACTATGTATGACATTTTCTTCATTAAATTCTTGTTTTTATATCAGTGAAAACGGCTCCTAGTCTTACAGATGCTGCATTAGGAAGAATAGCACAGGGAACTAAAGTTCTAGCAGAAGGAGGCTATGAAAAGATATTCAGACAGACATTCGATACAGTTCCAGAAGAGATTCTTCAAAATTCATATGCTTGCTACCTGTCCACGTCAGCAGGCCCTGTCATGGGTGTCTTATATGTATCCACTGCAAAACTTGCATTCTGTAGTGACAACCCATTGTCATATAAATCCAATGACAAAACCGAATGGAGCTATTATAAGGTACATATGTAGCTGAAAAACTAACTTATAATTATTAAATAGACTAATTTTTTTTTTTTAAATATTAATAGGTGATAATACCATTACAGCAGTTAAAGGAAGTGAACCCATCATCAAGTAGGGCAAATTCATCTGAGAAATATATTCAGGTGATATCAGTGGATAGTCATGAGTTTTGGTACATGGGGTTTTTAAATTATGATGGAGCTGTTAAGTGTCTACAGGATGCCATACAGACACGTGGCACAATTTCAGTGTGATGGGGTCAAGATTCAAGATTCAAGATTCAATTCAGTGTGTTATCATGTTATGATGTTAATGGCTTGAAAAAGGTCTTAATGGGGAAAGAATTTTTGAGGGAAGTGATTGTTGTGAAAACAAGTGGTATTTATGAAGGTGCAAAAATGGTGCACAGGTGGTGTATTTGGACATGGGTTTTTTTTAGTACACGTATACACGCTTTTTGGCCCAATAGGGTTGTAATTTAATAATTTTTAATTCATGTATTGAATTTGAGAAATATTTTGTTTTTTTTTTTTTTTGTTTCTAGGATTTTGGGTTTATGTTTGTGATTGGTAATTGAAACAGCAAAGTTTGGTTTACGAATGTTTTTGAAGTTTTCTTGTACATTGAAATAAGTTGCTTAATATGTGGAGTTTTGTCTTTTGAACTAAATTTAATGGAAAAGAAAGAAGATAAAGTTGAACTTACAGAAAAGACAAGTGTTATATCATTTACTTTAAGGGCTAAATACAAAAAGTAGCAACTAATTTTTTATTTTTTAATGTGGTTTATAGCATTTTTTTTTCTTAATTAGGTATTGTATTTAATTTTTATTGTATTTAATTTTTAATTTTCTTATTTTTTTTCTTTATTGGTCTATTTAGTTTTTATAACAAAATGTTTACCCATATTGTTAAACCCATCACAATTCGCCTTGTTCTTTCCCTTGCTTTTACATTCTTTTACATTTGTCATCTTTTACTCATGTCTTAGGTCCCGTTTGATAGTTTCTGTCTGGGAAAGTGCTATATGGTAAAGTGCTGTCTGGGAAAGTTTTTTGACTGGGAAAGAAATCATGTTGTTTGATTGTACATCGGATTGACTGTGCTGAATGATGAAAAATGACCCGGGTTATGGCCACCAAGAGTTATGGGATGGATATGATTTTTTAAAATAAATTAGAATAGTGGTGGTGTTGTAAAAAAAAAGAATTAATCCAATAAAAATAAATTAAAAAATTAACTAAAAGAAATTAATAATCTAATAAGGTAGTTTTATTAATATATAAATTATAGATATTATAATAATATTTATGAATATATAATAATCCAATAAAAAGAATTAATCCAAAAAAGAATTATTTAAAAGAAATTAATAATCCAATAAAATAATATTTATTAATACATAAATATTATATATTAAAATAATATTTCTTAATATAAAATAATACATTAAAAAAGTAATAATTCAATAAAAAATAAATTTAAAAAAAGTTATTTAAAAAAATTAAAAAAAGATGCGGGGTTTGGTGCATAATTGTCTTTCCAGCCCATTCAGTCAGAAAGATATGATTTTCGGGCTTTCTGGGAAAGACATATCTTACTGGGAAAGACCAATTTTTTTGTGCAAATCAAACAGTCTTTCCGGTCCATTTAGCCAGAAAGATCTGTTTGGACCTGGAAAGATGCGTATCAAACGGGGCCTATATTACCAATATCATATATACCGGGAGTTCATTGTCTAATGTTTCTGCCTTAATTCAACATCTTCATGCTCAATTTCTTTCAATGATCTCGATTGTTTATGTTATTTCTTAGGAATGGAGGCCATTTACAATGATACTTCTTTGCAATCGACTCAATAATAATATTTGTTACTTGTTACAACGTACAAGAATGGACGATAATTAACTTGCTTTAGTGGAACTCCCATGATTGATGTCTTCTTGTATCGGAGTACCATTGGGCTCTACAATATCTTGTCATCACTCACTTTGAGATCGCCTATGCTATCAACAAGGTGCCACAAGTTTCTTCATGCACCGAGTGATAGACATTGGGCTGCAGTAAAGCAAATCCTTTGTTATCTTCTTGGAACGTCTCTTATTATTCAACGTGCCTCTTCTCTTGTCGTTCATGTTTACTGTTACTCTGATGCTGATTGAGGTGGTTGTCCTAATGATTATCATTCCATTAGTGGATATTGTGTTTTTCTCGGCCTAATCTTATTAGTTAGAGTTGTAAGAAAACAACATATGTTTGTCCTAACGAGCAACGTTCCATTAGTGGATACTGTGTTTTTCTCGGGTCTAATGTTATTAGTTGGAGTTGTAAGAATTAAGAAACAACATACAGTTGCTTGAACCAATATAAAGGCGGAGTATTATGCCTTGACTAATACTGTCGCTGAACTCCAATGGACTGTCTCGTTAGTTTGTGAGCTTCGTCTTCCTATTACTTGCCCCACCAAGTGTATGGTGTACAACATTGATGCTACATACTTAGCAACCAATCTAGTTTTTCATCAACGTACAAAACATATTGAAATTGATGTTCATGATATAGTGCTCTCTCAAGCCTTATGTCTCCACTATGTGTTTGAGAGCTCTCAAATGGTCGATACTTTTACGAAAGTATTATCTGTTCCTCTCAACACTATGGGCAAGCTTAGATGGCTCATCGGGGGGGGGGGGGGGGGGGGGGTTGGTTAATGACAGTAGCAAATAGATATAAATTAGGATACTTATATTTACCTGTTAGTATTAGAACTAGTATATAATTTTCTTATATTAGTTATAAATACCTCCATGTAATTGAATCATTGAAGAAATATAAAATTTATTCATTACATATAAACTGTTCTTATATCTTCTCTTTTACATAACTTTAGACTGCAATGCTCTGGCCCATTAATCAAAGATATTGACTTGATTTTGTCAGTTAAGTTTCAAATTTAATTATATTTTTCGTTGTATAATTTTTAAAATCCCAAATTAATTGATTTTCCAGAGATATTATATATTTATTTTCAAATTAGGTTTTTAGCTTAGGGCATATGATTATTTGAACTGCGAAGTCAATCATATATTTAATTTTGTTAATTTGATAAATTTTGTTAATTGTTTGATCTTTGAAATCTTTTGTTCAATACTATGTTATATGATTTTGTTAAACTGATAAAATAATAATTGTACCATGTAATCGGACATTTTTCTTGTTAAATGTATATTACTTGTAAATTTTTTCTTTATACTACTAGAAAAGTAGACTATTTAAATTGGACCTAATATTTTTACTCGACCCAATCATTTTGAACATTTTGTCTCGACCCGATCGTATAGTTAATTGCTAGTCCCCCAATTAAGAAAACTCTTGGATTCACTACTCATAATAGGTAAAGAGAGTAGGAGGGATAAATTTCAAATCCAACACACATACAACTTTAGAAACACTGCAATATTCAACTTCAACATTTGAGCGAGAGATGATGGTTTGACGTCTCCTAGAAAAACACAATATCTAAAAATGGATCATCGTATGTCTAGATATCTGACCCATCGCCAGTATAACCGATTTCCGGTGAGAATGAGAGAAGGAGAGGAGAGTGACTTGGAGTGAGCTTTTATGAGAGGGAGAAAACATTGTGCTTTGACACCATGATAGTTATTGGAATCAATGCATGTCTTTCTCATTAAATTCTATAGTTATTTATATATGAGTTGCTTGAATCCCAATATATGTCAAAAGGAAACTTTCCCGACAATAATAACATCTTAATCTTATAATAATAGGCCTAATAAAGGAAGATTTCCTAAAGATAATAACATCCTAGTCTAATAATAATTATTATAATATGCCTAATAGTCTCTCCATCTCATTTCAAAAAGAGATACCACATATTTTGTGCTCCACCCCCTCCTTTCCCCTTCGTCTTGGTCTTTTCCTGACCATATCTTTCTCAGTTGATCTCTCCATGTGCTATATACACTGTCTTCTTTGTAGTTATTTGTTACCTAAGAAGGCCATTATTACTACATAATTTTACGTTGCTTAACCTTACCCCTTTTATGTAACTCTATTGCACATACGGTTTTTTTTTTTCATTTGTTCATACACTAACTACTCTCTATTCTTTATTGTGCTATGGCGTTTCATATTGCATGAGATGATTCGGTTCGTACACACTTACAATATTATTTATTTATTACTACCTTTTTTGTATTTAGCTCATATTTATAATACATAAAATAAAAACTGTTTGTACTTGTTACATTCTACAAAAAAAATATACAAAATGAAGTTAAAAACTGATATGCTACTAATTTTGATCAACCATTGAATGTTTAAAACTTTAAATCATATAAATGGATAAATCCAGATCGAAAATCTTCTAGAAAAGATTGGAGTAACCAAGGGTAATTTGGTAAGTATAGATTTGGAGATGGGGGTATTTTGGGAATTACAACTTGGTGAGGGGGGTATTGGTTGTACTGGATACCCAACCTGGGGAAACTAAAGGAGTTGGCACTAGAAAAGACTAAAACTTAAATAAAAATAAAAATACATAAAAAGAAGCAACTATCAAAACTCCAACCTGGCTCTTATGAGGCCTTTTTGGCCCATGTTCTCACAAGAATCAAAATATTTTTAAGTGGGCTCCAACTCCCATGTGCTACATAAACCCAATTTACATTTTCCCCACTCAACCTTTCTTCTGTTCACAATTTATACCCACGACTTTTAGTTTTCACGTTTCATGATTGGTTTTAATAATTTAATGCCATCATGGATTGGATATGCACAACCATCTTGTGGCTTGTATTTGTCAATGTATTTTTTTGATTTTTGGGTGGTTGTGGTGTGAGAGGGTCTTTTTATCTTTGTTTTTATAATACTTATTTTATACCTTAAAATTATAATAGTATTATATCATATTTATGTTTTTTATTATTAATTAAATGATATGTGTGGTGATATGCTCTAATGTAACATGAAAATTAGAGCTTAATATATTATCAACTACGATGGTAAATGAAGAATACGATCATGGGCTATTTAAAAGTTTTTTTTTTTTTTTTTTTTTTTGTTTTGTTTTTTTGTGTAGTAGTTTATTGGACACATAAATAAAGATCTCATAACTTTTTCATTATATCAAACAAAAATATTTATTGATACAATATTCATACTGTGATGATTACATTTATTACTTGCTTTAACTTTAATCAAATTAACTTATTTAACTATTTAATTCATCAATTGGGTCATGGAAGTAAGAAGAAATCAATAAAGAAAATATTGACAATCAAAATTCCATTGATGACTTATATTATGTACTAGGTGTAAGACTCATTATTATATGGATTAATTAAAAAAATTAAATATAAGGGTATACATATTTAAGAACTTTGGATTTATAAGAAAATAAGAAAAATAATGAATTATTTAAATTGATTTTTCTTTTAAATTTAAATAAATAAACAAAATAAACTAATGAACTTTAATTTGGGAATTTGGAAATAAAAAGATAAGTCCATTAAAAAAATTAATATTCATTTATTACCACAAAATGACATTTGACAAATTGAAAGAGAGTGTGATATGTGGCAAAAAAAACATTCATTTATTAGAGTAGATTTTAATTGAAATTTGATTGAAAACGTTAAGAGTTTATAAAACATAGAAATATGAATTTAAATATGCGAAAAAATCTATAAATATTTGTATTTATTTTCTCTTAACATATCGCACTAATTTAACATGGACTATATATTTTTAGCATGACACGATCCAAAAGAAAAAATAAAATTATTGTAACCTTGGAAATAAAAGGTTATAAAATACAAATTAAGACATCCACTAAAAAGTTACAATAAATTGAAAGGTGACGAAAATTAGTATTTGCTTTTTTTAAGATGCACAACTTCAAGATATGATAAAGAATATTGATTTGAAACCATAGGGTTACAAATCCACGTCTTTATCATCAAAAGTTGATATGTTCATGTACAAATAAAATCAAACAAAATTGTTGATGGAATGGAACATCAATATTTCCATGAAGAAGATTGACTACAAATCTACAATAGCTAAATGATAAATTAGATTAAAAAAAAGTAATGAATTTGAATTATTTTATTCTTATAGAACAATCCAAAACACAAAGTGTTTGTATTTGAAAAAAAATATTTGTTTGGTAATAATGATTCACAACCACCAGTATTTTAAGGCATGTTTGGTATGAAACTTTTAATAGTTATTGGAAGCTTTCAACTACCAGCGATCAGATCGCTCATAACATTCAACTTTCAGTTAGTTTTATTAAACATACATTTAATATAAAACTTATTGACGACAATTTGAAAATACAAATATTATAAACTATATAAAAGTTTATATAATGTAATATTAATCAAGTTGATTACCTTTTGTAAGATTCAAGCTTTTTCTTTGGTAATCAGATTAAAAAATTAACACAAAGTTTGCTGTCTTTCTTTGTGTTCAGCCCACTCAAACTAAGGACTAAATAAAGAAATAGGGGGAAATTTGAAACATTCTGAAAGTTTAAGGACTAAATAAATATTTACCTTATTAGAACACACAAGCTCTGTATTTCCTTGAGTTGCCATGTTCAGCTTCTTCTTCAACCTCCCAAACACTAACTGAACATTTCTCTCTTTCTCTTTCTCTCTCTCTCTAACAGAAGATGAGAACTCATGTGGGATCGAAGCTTTTGTCCACCATCGTTCTAATATTATCGTCAATCTTCCTCCATGGATACTCTCAATCCGACGCCAACGATGCTGAAGTTATGTTATCACTCAAGAAGGCCCTCAACCCGCCACCAGATCTCGATTGGTCTGATCCGAATCCATGCAAATGGACCCGTGTCGTTTGCTCAGATGAGAAGCGGGTAACCCGTATCCAAATCGGTCATCAAAATCTTCAAGGAACACTTCCCGCAAGCCTCTCGAATCTTACTCAGCTTGAGCGTTTGGAGCTCCAAGGGGAACAATATATCGGGTCCTTTACCCACTTTAAACGGGTTAAGCTCATTACAAGTGTTAATGCTTAGCAACAACTTGTTAACTTCGATTCCTGCTGATTTCTTCACTGGTATGTCTTCTCTACAATCTGTTGAAATCGATAACAACCCGTTTTCGAGTTGGGTCATACCCGAAAGCCTCAAAAGTGCTTCAACTCTTCAGAACTTCTCTGCTGTTTCTGCTAACATAACTGGTAAAATACCCGATTTTTTTGGGCCGGATGATTTCCCGGGTCTTGTTAATTTGCACTTGGCTTTCAATGAATTGGAAGGTGAACTACCCATGAGTTTATCAGGCTCACAACTTGAATCTTTATGGGTTAACGGGCAGAAACTCGGTGGAAAGATCGATGTTATACAAAACATGACATTCTTGAAAGAGATCTGGTTGCATTCCAATTCGTTTTCAGGTCCATTGCCTGATTTTTCGGGTTTGAAAGGATTGGAGGTCTTGAATCTTAGGGACAATTCATTCACAGGTCCTGTTCCTGTGTCTTTAACCAATCTTGAATCCTTGAAATCTGTTGTTTTGACTAATAACATGCTTCAAGGGCCCATGCCTAAGTTTAATGATTCAGTTAAAGTAGATATGGCGAAGGATACTAATAATTTCTGTTTGCCTGAGCCTGGTGACTGTGATCCTCGAGTTAATACGTTGTTGTTAATCGCGAAATCAATGGATTATTCCCCTAAGTTTGCTAATAATTGGAAAGGGAACGATCCATGTGCAGATTGGTTTGGGATTACGTGCAACAATGGCAACATTACCATTGTTAACTTTCAGAGAATTGGGGCTCACAGGTACGATTTCCCCTGAGTTTTCAGCTTTGAAATCGCTTCAAAGACTCGTTCTTGCTAACAACAATCTCACTGGCACGATTCCCGAAGAGCTCACCACTCTTCCCGCTCTTACCGAATTAGATCTCGCCAACAACAATCTCTCTGGCAAAATCCCAGTTTTCAAGAGTAATTTGGATCTGAACACAGCTGGGAATCCCAATATCGGAAGGGTAATCACTAATTCCAGCGATCCAAATTCACCCAACTCTTCAAATTCGCCAAATTCAACTGGGGTTTCGCTAAATGGTAAAAAGAAGTCAAAAAACTGGCTTGGGGTGGTTTTGTTTTCGGTTCTTGGGGGTATAATCGTCATTTTCTTGATCGCTATCCTGGCGTTATGTCTTTACAAGAAGAAGCAAAAGAAGTTTAGCAGAGTACAAAGCCCTCATGCCATTGTAATTCACCCCCGAAACTCAGGATCCGATAATGAAAGTGTAAAAATCACAGTCGCGGGGGGTCGAGTGTTAGTGTAGGTGGACTTAGCGAGACACATACGATCCAAACCACCGAAGGAAACGATATCCAGATGGTGGAAGCGGGCAATATGGTAATTTCAATCCAAGTCTTGAAATCGGTCACCAACAATTTCAGTAAAGAAAACATATTAGGTCAAGGAGGATTCGGGACTGTGTACAAAGGCGAATTACATGATGGGACAAAGATTGCAGTTAAAAGAATGGAATGTGGTGTGATTACGGGAAAAGGGTTAGCGGAATTCCAGTCGGAAATTGCGGTTTTAACAAAAAGTTAGGCATAGGAATCTTGTGGCACTTCTTGGGTATTGTCTTGATGGAAATGAGAAGCTTCTTGTGTATGAGTATATGCCTCAAGGAACATTGAGTCGACATTTGTTTAATTGGCCCGAAGAAGGATTGAACCCGTTGGAATGGACCCGAAGGTTGGCTATTGCTTTGGATGTGGCTAGAGGTGTTGAGTATCTTCATGGTTTGGCTCAACAAAGTTTTATTCATAGGGATTTGAAACCTTCTAATATTCTACTTGGTGATGATATGCGGGCGAAAGTTGGAGATTTTGGCCTCGTTCGTCTTGCTCCTGAAGGGAAAGGCTCAATCGAGACACGAATAGCCGGAACTTTCGGTTATCTAGCCCCCGAATATGCAAGTAGGGTTTTTAATTACATTTTATCAACCAAATTTATGTTCAAATTACTATGTGAGAGTTTCAATTCCAATGTGGATTGGGCTCCTTGTGGGCGGCACTACTTACGCCAGTCTGCTAGACGCGTAAGTAGTGCCCACAAGGAGTCCGTCTGCCTAGCAGACCGATGTGTATCTGATTTACATTTAACATGATGCTTTTGAGTGGGATGGTGTGAGCTAGCTCAGGGGTTGCTGAAAGAATTTTGCAGTAATGCGTATTTTTAATTCTAATCTTAGGCTAATTTTTTTATTGCAGTTACGGGGCGTGTGACGACAAAAGTAGATGTGTTTAGTTTCGGGGTGATATTGATGGAACTTATCACGGGACGAAAAGCACTTGATGAAAGTCAACCCGAGGAAAGCATGCATTTAGTAACATGGTTTAGAAGAATGCATCTCAACAAGGACACTTTCCGCAAGTCAATCGATCAAACCCTAGACCTAACCGAAGAAAACCTAGCCAGTGTTAGCAAGGCGGCTGAACTCGCGGGCCACTGTTGTGCCCGCGAGCCATATCAAAGGCCCGACATGAGCCATGCGGTCAACGTATTGTCTTCCCTTGTTGAAATGTGGAGACCTTCTGATGAAAGTTCCGAAGATATTTACGGAATTGACCTTGACTTGTCATTGCCACAAGCCCTTAAGAAATGGCAAGCTTTTGAAGGAGGAAGTCATACAATGGATGCTTCGTCTTCTTCGTTTCTTCCAAGTTTGGACAACACGCAGACGAGCATACCGACTCGGCCTTATGGGTTTGCGGAATCGTTTACTTCATTGGATGGGAGGTGATGAGAGGGGTAGATTTGGAATTTTAATTCATGATTTTTTGGAGGGTGATTTTTGGCTTGGTTTTAGGGTGGTTTGAATTATTTTGTGAATCTTGAGTTCTTGTTGTAAAGTATGTAACTTTAGAAAGAACTTGTGCTTTTCCATGTGTAGGGATTCAAATGGTCAATATTTTATTAGAATAGTCTTTTGTAACCTTGGAAATTGTGGTGGGGTTTGATTTTTGTTTTATTATTTTAAATTCTTTCTATGATAAGAACAATAAGAAGGAAGTGCTTTGCCTTGTGTTTTTTTGGCTTTTTGGTAATGGATTTTGAATTGAACATGTGTTACTTTTGAGGTTGGAAAGGAAGAGGGTAAAACTGACATTTCGCACGTGTGTAAACTGTTTAATGATTACGGAACATGGAGTCATGGACTATGAGCTGGGAGTTGTTGATATGAGCAAACCCACTTAAAGATTTACTTGAAGGAAAACAAGTTCTTTTGTTTTCAAGTGATGGATACTTTATGTAATGATTATTATTGTGTTTGAAAAATATCAAGGAAGGAGGTTGGTTATTGTTTTTATAGAATATAATGTTAGGATTATTCATTTGAATAATTATGTTGCTTCAAGGATAAAGATCTTCAAAAGAATTCAAATTAGAATACAAGTCTATAAAGAATAAAGATCTTTAAAAGAATTCAACATAATGATTGTTCCAAATATTGGAATTAAAAGAATTACATCGAATAGCTTAACACACATGATGATTTAGCATATTTGTGTTGGTTCTTGATTTCAGGTATTGTTACAGTGTTACCAACTATTGCATCATTGATTCATTTTGGTTGGCATTATGTCTATCAATAACACAAGTTTTGGGAGAAGTGTATCAAGCAATGACATGTACAAAACAAAACTAGAACAAAACTAAAATTTGAATTCGTTTTTGTATTTAGTGTAAAAAAACACGACATTGTGTCGTGTCGTGTTCGTATTCAGAATTCGAATCAAAATGGACACGATAATGACATGTGTTTGTCGTGCTGTGTATGATTAAGTATCAATTTTATAAATTAACAATTTATATTATCTTTATCGTGTTTTAATTAGGTCGTTTTCTTGTTGGTAAAAAAAACATGACATCGTTTCGTATAGTGTTCATGTTAAATAAAATATTGTTGTATCATGTTATATAAAAACACGATACAGTTGTCCACAATCTGAGATAAAGACTTAATCAAGGACAAACAAAATATCTTGCCATCAAGTGATTTCATTAAACTAATCTCTACTACAAAAATCTCAAAGAAAAATTTATTATACTATTTTTTCATTCCCACAATTCTGACAAAATAACCCGATGGTTACTATACTAAATTTTTTTATTAAATACATAAAGGAAATATTTTAAAAATAGAAAGATAATTTACATAGGGTCTTGGAGACCTTTTGGTAATGAACTCTAGACGTTGGATCCCAACCAAATCGTTTTTAGATACCAACATAGATTTTGAACTCCTTTTTTAGGCGTCTTGTCCTTTAAACCTTTAAAAATGTATGTTTGAAGGATAAAAGAATGGGGCAATTATGTCTTTCTCGATAAAAAATATATTCAGAAAGTTTTGCAATCATTTTGTGTAGATCAGTTCAAACCGATATGTACTCCTTTAGCACCACACTTAGAACTATATCTCAACATAATACCAACTATAAACGAGGATGAGTGTTACACAAGGTTCTAAAAAGCTCGTCATGGCTCCGCCATGGCACGTCATGACTCCAACGCTTGTATGTGCCGCCAAGCTTTACCAAAACGCCGCTTTGACTCATATATGTGTATAAAAATGAATAATAGTAGAAAATACACATAAAAATATGAATTATATACAAAATTGCCGCCTTAAGTCACGTCTTACAAACGACGTGACTCGCCAAGGCTCGGAAAAGCTTGAGGCTTGACATTGCCGTCAAGTCACGCCTTACGTTATTTAGAACCTTGGTGTTACTTGAACATAGTTCCATATTTAGTGTTTTTGGAAGTCTCTTGCATGCAATGGTTTGTACTAGACTTGGTCTGGCTCATACAATGAGTGTGGTAAGTAGATTTATGAATAATCCAAGAAAGACTTGTTGGGAAGCAATCAAGTTCATTATGTGATACTTGAAAAGAACGTTTAATATGTCTAGTTTATAATGGCAAAATATATATATAGATCGTTTGGTTGGATATATATATATATATATATATATATATATATATATATATATCAAGTTGAGGGCCGTTGGCCTCGGACCCCGATGGCCCTCAACCTAGAACATAGAATAATTTCTCAAAAACCCTGGCCGGCGTGCCTAAGGCACGAACTGATTCCTATTTCATGCTCATGACCATCCCTAATAATAGTCTACCTCAAACTGATGAATGTTACGATCCCATCGCAGTCTTACAATATTATCCACCAACCATGGCTACCACTCTTATCTTTACCACACTCGAACCATCCCCATACCACACATCCTGAGCCGAATCATGCATCCAACCAGAAGTTCGGTTACACATTCAAATTCCATAGCCTACTATGATTAACAATGGAGATGCTGACCCGCGACTGGGAGTTTCCTGAACTCCTAACAACACAATCTCTCAATCGGAACAACCTATTAATTCTCCCCCACTTGGACTCAACAAAGCTTTCTCACCTCTTAATCCTTATGGATCTCCGATCCATCTCCCTCAAATAACGCAAACCGCCCATTCCCTGAGCTGAACCGTACCAACATTCCATTGTTAGCCAAACTCATTGATTACCCAATTTTTGAAACCCTGAAGAATACTCTTGAAACCTTAACTAGTCTGATAATCCAAAACACCTCCCATGATACCATACCAATTCTCTGTGTTCTTATGCTGGCGACTAAAAACCATAACCCTTGCCCTGAACCAATGAATCTTCATCCCCACTCCCATTCTCGAAGAATCTCTTGATCCTAATAGATTGTAACCTGAGTAAATGTGAAACTTCCCTGTCATTCTGATGACCAAACGACTCATGCAACTAGCCTCACCATCTTCCTGCTACCGCTCCTCTCCTAGCAGCGGTAGTGTCTAAACCCCAACAGTTTTTCCATAGGCAACTGCCGCCCCCATCATATCAAAATACTAAAACTGTTGAACCCTAACGATTACTGAAGAACCAACCCGCAGAATCCTGACCAAAGACCTTCCACTTAATACCCCTGAACCGATCTCGACCAATACCAGAATGACAACCAAACACACTGGAACCCACTACACAAGATACAACCCTTCAATAACCCCACTAATAAACACGACATCCAGAAGGCATATAACAATTCTTCGAGGATATAACCCATGAATAACAGAGAACTAAACCAAATATAGCGCTTACCTAAAACAATTACAGGCACATACATACTAATAACGACTGAAGAAAACGTAAAAGATAACATACCTACAAAATCACATGCTGGAAACACGAGCCTACTTTGGCTGACACTGGAATGATCGGCTCCTCTCTGCTGAGACTCCTGCCCTATCCTTACGACTATCTGTAACACCTGTTCCAGGTATTGATTATTTATATCATAGGGTTTTGTGCATGGACTCGGCGAGTTGGGGTGCTCCAACTCATCGAGTAGAGACTGATTGGGGACGCGGGGTTTGGGTTCTACTCGACGAGTCGGAAGGCCCCGAATCGACGAGTAGGAGTTGTAAAAAGAAACCCTAATTTTTAGGGTTTGCACCCTATTTAAGGAACATAACCTGCCTCTTGTGGCCTCCCTTATCACCCTACTAGCCAGAGAAAACCCTAATTCGACCTTGCACCTTCTTGAAAGAGAGTAAGAGCTTTGTGAGTGATTTTGGGGGAATTTGTGAAGGATACTAGAGCTTGAAGAGGAAGGAGCAAGAGGAGGAGCAGTAGATCCAACATTTACTCTGTCTTGGCCATCATTTTGAGGTATAAAGTCGTCACCTTGATCTCTAGTTGATTAGATCCATTTTCTTGGAAGTAAATGGCCATTTTTGGTGCAAAATGGAGTCAAGCTTGGATCTGGACTTATCACAAGGATATGGTTCCAGATCTGGACTTCTCAAGGTCCCCAATGGCATAAAGTTGCTCACTTTATGCAGCCTAGCCCCTTTCCATGCACAAAAACATTGGAAGAAGCCTAGTTTTGATGTTATAGCCTTGGAGGGCTTCGCATGCACGTAAAGTTTGCAACTTTACGTGGTATCTGCACTAAGGGAGTCTGGATCTGGAGTTTGGGACCTTAGATCCCACTAAAAAGGGCTGAACTTGAAAAGGAATGAAGGAACTCGTCGAGTCCCTTAACTGACTCGACGAGTCGGGATAGGGTTTGCCCGTTTCTGAGTTTCTGAATGAGTGCAGTGAAGGATTAGGGTTTTGGTCTGATTAGACATTAGTTTTCTGGACATATGATGAGACCGACGAGTCACTAGGGTGACTCGGCGAGTTGATGCGGGATGCAGTGAAATGGACTCAGGAGGAACTCGACGAGTTGCTGGATGCACTCGACAAGTTGAGGTCAACATGGACTGTTGACCTTGACTTTGACAGGGTTGACCAGGATTGACTTTGGGGGTAATTATGGGATTATGACAAGTTAATCACATAATGATTATAGGCAGTTGATTCGGAGCATCACGTGGGACATATCTGATTCTAGCTTGTCAGTTTAGCATCCGAGAGGTGAGTCTTCTCACCATATCAATGGGTTTACGGCACCAATGTCGTCCCATTTTATGATATGTGGTACACTAGCTGTAGTAGAGATATGTGGTATGATAGTTAGCTTTATGCTAAGTGGTATGCTAGTGATTATGTGATATTTGCATGGAAGACCTTGGGGGGAGCCTGTGGCAGTTGGATATAAGACCATGTGGGGGAGCCCATGGAATTCCTAGGTAAAGACCATGTGAGGAAGCCCATGGCATGATGGTGTAAGACCCTGGGACGAGTCCACGACCTCCTTATATGTTTATGTATGAGTTATGTAGTATGATAGATACTTTTGTGATATATGATATGCTAGTTGATTATTATGTTATTGCATGGAAGACCCCGGGGGGAGCCCGTGGCAGTTGGATATAATACCATGTGGGGTAGCCCATGGCATTCCTAGGTAAAGACCATGGGGGAACCCATGACATGAAGGTATAAGACACTGGGGGGAGCCCACGACA